TGTGGCCTGGAAGGAAAGGGAGGCAGGTCATGGGGAAGGGAACAGTGACACAGCCTGCACATTTTTTTTGGTGTACACCCCAGTTGCGACTTGGCATGCAATTTGCAATTATAGCAATCATATTGGTGTGGTTCTGACTTGGTCAGAGCCGCACCAATTTCTAAAGTAGTACATGCACTACTTTTTGTGCAATTAGCATAGATATCTGTGTCAGATATCTTGCAAATCGCACCTGAAATCAGCATGTCTCCAGACTTTGAAATCGTGCAACTTCACTGTAAGTCACGCAATTTCAAAGTCGGGCTTGATGTGACCGGGGTTTTACTTGGTGTTTAGCTGACAAACTGTATGTTCTGGTAGGCTACTTTAAGAGCTGATTCTCACATGTGCAGTGTGGGTTGAAGCTCAGGTTTCACAGCTAATTAATAGCAGTTGTTCAGTGGTTGAGATCAGGTTTACATCAGGTTCAGGACAGGATTAACTCAGGATTTTATCCTGTTCAGACATATGTGGTTTACAAACAGTTCCCATAGAAGTCAATAGCTTGTAATCCAAACCTGAAGGCACGGCTTAGAAATTGTATAGGACTCTTTTTCAAACCGCAGTGAATCCACACTGCCAGTGCACTGGACATATGTGAACAGGCACCCTAGGAAGCAATGTTATTTCACGTCACGCAGATTGGATGCAGTTCAAACCACATATATGTGAACAGGCACTAAGAGCTGATTCACACAACTGCGGTGCGCATTGAGCTCAGGTTTCACAGCTAATTAAGTGTTCTTGCATGGCAAGACCACTTACTGTTATCTCACTTATATATTCTTATTATTATAGCCAAATTTACCACCCTAACTCCTCCCACAGTTTTTACACTACATAGACAGTAATATACCGAAACGTGCGGATTGTTCCCGATTGGTGTGCTATTACTTTGTGGAACGTTTCGCCAAATGGTTCACAAAATATTGGCGTTTTTGTGGTGAAATTGGTCCCATAGGAATGAATGGCGGAATGTTCAAAACTAGAGTGGGAGCTGACAAAAGCTAGAGTGGGAGCTGAAAAATCAGGACATGATTTCTAAACTGCCATCACTCCCTCATTTTCAAGCCCACCTACACAAATCGTATATCAAAACGTTCAGCTCTCCCTGCTGCCACTAACAATGTCCACGGCTAAGCCATAGTCCTGATAATTTTCACAATATGACCATTTGTTTGCAACTCACGCCGCCCATTGACATTCATTGAAACTCCACTCTAGCCACCTCAAATTTGAAGGGCAATTTCTAAACTGCGACTGTGCCTTCATTTTTAATATTTCAGAGACATACTATGCATCAAAATGTAGGTCTGGGTCTTGTGATTCTCACAATATAAAAGCTCTTCGGTGTAGGATTTATAATTTTTAAACTACAACCGTTTGAAGATGGCAACCGCCAGTGAAGTGAGCAAGTTGGAACAGTTTGTTTTAACCGCTCTTCTCTGCCCTTGCTGTAGAGTGAGTTGCCATAGGAACCCAGGTGTGTGAGCAGGCAGCAGTGACAAAAGCTAGAGTGTGAGCTGAAAAATCAGGACATGATTTCTAAACTGCCACCACTCCCCTCATTTTCAAGCCCTAGACTACTGGTGGAGGCAAGAACACTTCACACAATTTCCCCAGAAATTGTAGCTTTTCTAGTTCATACAGTAGTTGCTCACCGGTTCATGTCAGATTTAAATCAAGTTCATAACAGGATGCGCACCTGAACCACACCGCACTTCTTAGAAATCATACAAGACTCTTTTTCAAACTGCACTGAATCTGCACCGTCAGGGCACTGGATATATGTGAACAGGCACCATAGGAAGCAATGTTTTTTTTATGTCATGTGGATTGGATGTGGTTCAAACCGCATTCAGTTCGCATATACGTGAACCAGCACTTAGTCTCATGTTTGGCATGAGTAAGGAAGGGACAGTGCAAGGACTCTAGCTCACACCATAGCTTGAGGGACCTCGGAAGTGTGTGGTAATCACCTGACTGCTCCATGTCCTTAAGGCCCATTCATACCAGAAACTGCAAGTAACTGCGCGTTTTTTCCTCATACCTATGCATGCATTTGATGCATGCTTGACATGCAGTTGACGTGTTTTTCTATCTGCATTTGTCCTGTGAAGTCACTTCCTTCTTTCTTTGGGCTTCTATGTGCACTGTGATGTGCTGCAGTGCATTGTATGCAGTTTTGCACATTTGCAGTGCGGACAAATGCAGCATGCTTTGCTTTTCCACACTGTGTTGCACTGCACTGCAGTGCAGTGCTGTGAACTGTGCCCACAGGATAGCCTGGATTTTGGACTGTCTAAACAGTGGGAGTGAAGTCCAAAATGCAACAAACTGCATTCCACTGCGTTCAGTGTGAAAGGGCTCTTAGAGTGCGCGGGTTTGTATGCAATATATGTTTATGCCCTTCCGTGTCCAGCCGGCTAGATTTTGGGTGAGTGCCAATGATACCAACAAATGGGCACAATTGCTCCCATTGACACCAGTGAAAGGGCACAATTCCTCTCATTGACAGGGCACAATTCCTCCCAATGACACCAGTGAAAGGGCACAATTCCTCCCAATGACACCAATGAATGGGCAAAATTCTACCCAATGATACCAACAATAGGACCCAATGACACCAATGATGGGGTACAATTGTCAGGACCTTTTCTACTCTCGGTGGCCATAGTCTGGCCCCCCTAAAGTCTGAAAGAGTAAACTGACCATTTGTTTAACCACTTGCCAATCACCTTATAGCAGAAGTACTGCTACAGGGTGGAAGGGCTCCGCAAAAATAACATATATAAGTATGTATATATACACATGATTTGCATTTCCGGGTAGGGGGTGCCGCTATTGGAGGCTGGGGATGCCAATCACTGGGTCCCGGTTGGCAATTCCTGGCTGGCACTCGAGATTGTTGGCAAAGTTAACAGGGGAGAGATCTGTGTGTAAACAACACAGGTCTCTCCGATGTCAGCATGGACATGCTGTTTTGTATGTCTCTGCACACCAGAGAGATACAAAGCAGCATGTCTCCCTAGTAAAACACACACAGTGCACAGTTAACCCTTTGATCGCCCCAGATTTTAACCCCTTTCTGCCCAGTGTCATTAGTACAGTGTCAGTGCTTTTTATTAGAACTTATCACTGTATTAGTGTTACTGGGAGTGGCAGTTAGTCAGTTCCCCCCAGTGTCAGAATGCCCCCCACAGTCCAGCTATAAGTCGCTGATCGCCACCATTACTAGTATAAACAAAAATAATAAAAATTCCAGAATATATACCGCCATTTGTAGAAGCTATAAACTTTCACGTAAACCAATTAATTTACAATTATTGGGATTTTTTTTGCAAGGACATGTTGCAGAATACACTTTGACCTCAATTTATTTAGAAACTTAATTTTTTAAATTTTATTGGACATGTTTAACTAGTTGCCGACCGCAGATAGCCGAATGACGGCTGCACTGCGGCCGGCCAGTTCTGGGTGGACGTCATATGACGTCCTCCCAGAACGCGCTCTCTTGCACGCCCCAGGGGGCGCGCACCCGGCGATCTCCGTGATCGTTGTGTCCTACGGACACAGCTGATCACGTGATGTGGTAAAAGGCCAATCACAGCGGCCTTTTACCACGTGATCAGCGGTGTCCAATGACACGCTGATCAGAGGGAAATGCAAGTGCCGGTTCTCGGCTATACTTTCCTCACGCTGTCAGATCGTGAGGAAAGTACTGCCGAGAACCGGCAGTTGTCACAGCGAGGATCGGCACCGATCATCAGGGCACTGATGATCAGTGCCCTGATGATCGGTGCTCAGCAGTGCCACCCGCAGGTTCCGCCCACCTGTGCCCAGCAGTGCGCCCACTAGCTCCACCCACCTGTGCCCAGCAGATCACCCACCTGTGCCCAGCAGTGCACCCACCTGTGCCCAGCAGTGCACCCACCTGTGCCACTCTGCAGTGTCACACACCTGTGCCACTCTGCAGTGTCACACACCTGTGCCCAGAAGTGCCACCCACCTGTGCCACCCACCTGTGCCCACCCACCAGTGCTGCCCACCAGTGCCGCCCACCAGTGCCCAGCGGTTGTGCCAGTCAGTGCCGTCTATCAGTACCCATCATCAGTGCCGCCTATCAGTGCTGCATATTAGTGCCGCCTATCCGTGACACCTCATTAGTGCTGTCTATCAGTGCCGCCTATCCGTGCCACCTCATTAGTACTGCCTATCAGTGCCACCTCATTAGTACCGCCTATCCGTGCCACCTCATTAGTACTGCCTATCAGTGCCCTTTAGTGCTGCCTATCAGTGCCCCATCAGTGCTGCCTCATCAACGCACATCAATGAAGGAGAAAAATTACCTGTTTGAAAAATTTTATAATAGAAACAAAGAAACTTTTTTTTTTCAAATTTTTTGCACTTTTTTTATTTATAGCGCAAAAAGTAAAGCGCCCAGTGGCGATTAAATACCACCAAAAGAAAGCTCTATTTGTGAGAAAAAAATGATCAAAATTTAATATGGGTACAATGTTGCATGACCGCGCAATTGTCAATCAAAGTGCGGCAGCGCTGACAGCTGAAAATTGGCCTGGTAAATAAGGGGGTATAAGTGCCTGGTAGGCAAGTGGTTAATAGCAAAAAGTCAAACTTTTTTTTTTTCTTCAACATTGTCGGTCTTTTTTTGTTCATAGCGCAAAAAATAAAACATGCACAGACGTTCAAGACAAAACAAAAGAAAGCTCCATTTGTGGGGAAAAAAATTGACAAATTTCATTTATGTACAGCGTTGCATGACCGCGCAATTGTCAGTTAAAAGCAGTGCTGTATCACAAAAAATGGCCTGGTCAGGAAGGAGGGTAAATCCTCTGGAGGGCAAGAGGTTAAAAAAAGTTTGGAGACCCCCGTGCTAGAACATACCCTCATGTATGAATGGAGCGGCACGTGTCTGCTCACACACACGGAGGACATCTCACCTATCAGCTGGGAATAGAACTTGGACACCTCCAGCACAGAGGCCGCCAGTACAGCCGGGCCGGACAGAAGAGTGAGGAAGATGGGGCCGAGGAACGTCCGGGGGACCACCCCGGGGAACTCATGGTGATCGTACTGCAGGAGGAAGACAACAGGAGGGATTAGTGTCCGCCGTACACAGCTCCGCCCTCCCCCGCTCACCACATTACCTTGTCCAAGTCCAGCTTATGATACAAGAGGTCATGGGCGGCCTGCAGGTTAAAGCTCTCCTCCACCTTGGTGTACGGACATACCATGAGATGTAGGAATGCCACGGCCGGGTACAGGAGCACCAGAGCCTGCCCGCCGCTTCTCCCCTTCACCGCCATGTCTGACGGAGGAAACAGCACGCCCCCTACCGACGTTATAGGCTACTACAGCCGGGAGTCCTGCCTCTGTACCAAGCACAGGGTGAGGTGGCCGGCTTTCCCCTATAAACCCAGCGCAGGCTGAGGTGGCAGGCCTTTCCAATACCCAGCACAGGCTGAGGTGACCAGGTTACTTATGCCCAGCACAGGCTGAGGTGACCAGGCCTCTTATGTCCAGCACAGGCTGAGGTGACCAGGCCTCTTATGTCCAGCACAGGCTGAGGTGACCAGGCCTCTTATACCAAGCACAGGGTGAGGTGGCCGGCTTTCCCATATAAACCCAGCACAGGGTGAGGTGACCAGGCCACGTATGCCCAGCACAGGCTGAGGTGAACAGGCCTCTTATGCCCAGCACAGGCTGAGGTGACCGGGCCACGTATGACCAACACAGGCTGAGGTGACCGGGCTACGTATGTCCAGCGCAGGCTGAGGTGACCGGGCTACTTATGCCCAGCACAGGCTGAGGTGACCGGGCCACTTATGCCCAGCACAGGCTGAGGTGACCGGGCTACTTATGCCCAGCGCAGGCTGAGGTGACCGGGCTACTTATGCCCAGCGCAGGCTGAGGTGACCGGGCTTCTTATGCCCAGCGCAGGCTGAGGTGACCGGGCCTCTTATGCCCAGCGCAGGCTGAGGTGACCAGGCTACGTATGCCCAGCACAGGCTGATGTGACCGGGCTACTTATGCCCAGCACAGGCTGAGGTGACCGGGCCACTTATGCCCAGCACAGGCTGAGGTGACCGGGTTTATTATGTACACATTGGTTTGATATCTGTACCCATCTACACACAGCACATTCTCTGTCCTCAGCAGCCGTAGACAACTTCTCCGTACGCGTGGAGCGCTGATTGGCCCAAGCGTGGCAGCGGCGGATTTGTCCACATCCTGGAAAATTGTACCGCACAGCCAATCAGCGTGCAGGGAGGGCGGACACGGAAGTGAGAGGCCGGCTTGGAAGGATGCAATGTCTGTGCCTGGAGTGAGTGTTGTCAGGGTAGGAGCTGCATGTCAGTCCTGCGTACCGGGGTGTTGTATGGGTGGCCCTGTGCACTGCTAGTTCTCCTCCATTATGGCAGTCATAGGAAGCACTGGGACTGCTGTGTCCATTTACCTGGCCCCCCGGTTCCTCATTGTACTCTTCTTCTTCATCTGTACAGCTGCAAAGAAGGAGCCGTGTGACACGTGTAGGAGGCTGGTGGACAGGTTCCACGAGGTAAACAATATCCTTCTGCTGTGTCCTCAGGGCTGGACTATACAGAGCCTTGTATACATATAGGCTGGCCATTTACTGCATAGGCTCATCTATTATCTGCATTCTGTACTGATTACCTGTTTACAGTCATGTGTTGGCACTTAGTCTTTTGTCACATAAAGTTTTCCTTCCTTGATATAAACATGTAACAAGTTTCTTAGCCCTGGTTCACTCTGGTGCGACTTGTCATGCGATTTGACAGTTTCACCCTACTGTCAGTAATGGAACTGCTCAAATCGGTGTGACTCTGACTTGGAATCACACCGATTTTAAAAATCATTTCTGCACTATTTTCAGCAATTTCAGGTGCGATTTTCATTGACATCTGTATGAAGTCGCACAGATGTTCAGGCAAGCTGCATATAAAATCACACCAGCTTGGTGGCTTTGAAATTGCGCTACTTCAAGCAAAGTAGGACAATTTCAGGGTTGCATTTGGTGTGAACCAGGACTAAAAGCCAAACTCCAGGGATGATCTGTATTGCATCCTTATATTGGTGCAGCGTATACATCTCTGCTACCTGATAGACTGCTGGGAAAGCTGACCATCAGTGTAGTTAGTAGTCATTACTGCAGTGATCAGTGAGACCTTCTGGGTACCGTTCTGATTCTGGCAAAAATTGAATGTGTTCTGTGGCGGCAGTGCCAAGGGAGCAACAGTGTGAACTGGGGAAGGGGAAGTCGATCAGCAAAGCAAATATTTATCTTCTACTTTTCACAATTTGTGATTTTACAGCTTGTCTGGTTTTATTTCTAGCATAAACGTGGACTCCAGACTGACTTGTATTGCATAGTTAAAGCCAGCTTGCCACAATACATTACTCAAATGTGAGTGATCCCTGAGAAAGCTGAACATCACTGTAGTAGTCAGCACTACTACAGATCGTTCCTTCAGCTTTAAAGGGTAAGTTCACCTTTTGTAAAATGTTACACCCATATTCAGGATGCAACATGTTACAAAAGGACCAGCCCCCACTTCCCTTGTTTTGACAACTTCCCCCCAGCTTTCATAATTTAAAAAAAAAAGTGGCCACGTCACTCATGCACCATATTCTTTGAATTGGAAAACTACAAGTTCTCACAGCCTTTGCAGCTGTCAGGTTGTAGTTCTCAATGAACTACCATGGCGCTGTTGAACACTGTGGTAGTTCATTGATTCTTCCTGTCACAGTGTATCTGCTTGCCTGTATGAGGTGCGAGTACACAGATACACTGACAGGTCTGCAGGAGTCTTGCATGGCACCAGTGATCTACTGATGGCTGCTGCAATACTTTCCAGGCTCCCAAAACAAAAAATAGCAAATGCACATTTTTTTTTTATCTGCAAAAAAAATGTGTATTTATTATTTTTTGTTAAAAGGTGAACTTATCCTTTAACTTAAATAATTTCAGGCACCCTGTATGCAGTTTTTTGTGATTGAAGCATATGCTACTGTTTGTGATTATTATGAATAAAAAAACATTGTCAAATGCAGAAGATGAATATTAGTGTTTTGCTGGCTATCAGCCTTTAATTCTTGAAGTGTTACTAAACCCACAACAGTAAAATCAGTCTGTATATGCAGTAAAGCATGCTTGTTATACTCACTGTGGAATCTAAGGAGTTAATCCTCTCCATTGTGTAAAAAGACTGTTTGATCCTTTCTTCTCTGCCCCTCCTCTTGTTGAAATGACCACCTGATACAAACTGAATCCATCACATACACATGGTCAGTTTGGTGCGTATTGCTAGAGAGGGTTTTTTCTTTGCAGAGTGCATGTGATCAGCACAGGGCCAATCGGCACTGTCCAGACAGAGGGTCAGAGGTTTCACATCCTAGAGCAGAAAGAAAACTCCTCCTACAAGCTTTAACCAGTGCTCTGCTGAAGTCACAAGACTGTTCTAACCGCTGATGAGAAAATGTATTTAGCAGTTTATATTTACTAAAATAATTGCACTTCAATGTTGTGTGTACTGTGGGAGACCAGATATAGTGAATGCAGGGTCTTGGGTTTAGTATCGCTTTTTCCCAAAATGTTCCTGTAACTGTTTATAAACTGTTAGACCAGCAGATTTAGATAGATTTGGATAACAAATTGAACTCCAGCTAACACTACCCTTCCTCAGACTGACAATGCTGCTTTACAAAAATGTCAGCTTTGCTACTTCTTCCGGAGCAGAGACACACTAGGACAAGAAGTGTGTTACTGGCTAAACCACAAGGTGAAATAAAGGGAAGAAAGCTTATAAAAAAAGAAAACTAATGCAGTCACCACATCTAAGGGTCTATTCACTCCAGATGCAATGCTGGAGGACAACTATTTCAGCTCACTCCCACCACAACCAGGCAAAATGGCTTGTCTCCTACCTGGTCAGTTCACATCACAGCTTTTGGCAGTTAATTGACCTGCTGGAGTAAAGGCATATAGGCTGTTAATTTTGCAAGGGAAAATTCCCTTGGAAAGTAAACAGTCTATTTGCCTTCAATAAATCTAGTTAAGGCCTATCTGGTCCTTCCATGAAAGTTTCTACTTGGTGATGCTTTCTCTTTCCTGGTCTGGAGCACCAAGTTCATCCCCTTCCTTGTGGCAGTTCCTCTATCTTGCAGAGGGTTTCACTTCATCTGGGCTTGATTTTGGCTTTGGTCCTTCAGTGTTCCTTTGCTGCAGATGGATTCCAAAAAATGTTATTGGACCTGTCAGGTGCTCTTGCCCACTCATCAGTTGGACTGCTTTTGGATGACCCAACTGTTTCTGAAATCCTGTGTGTCTCAATAGATGGTGGAGAAAGTAATTTGTTTGTACTGACCAGATTTAGATTTAAAGCATAATTAAAGTCATACATTTTTAGGTTTAGGATAGAGTATTGCGATTTTCAGTTGGGGAGACTTCCCTTCACTTACTATCCTGTAGACAGAACAGGAACTAAGGGAATTTTCTCCAAGGTGTTTGAAATCTTACACAGGTGTCATCAGAAGTTCCTATTGGAAGATTTTCTACTCCTCTTCTCTTTCAGGGACTACAGTAAGTTTGGACTTCCCTATACTTTCTCTCTCAGTGCAAATAGTTACAAGGACAAAAAGAGAGGGTGAATCTCTAGAGCAGAGACATGGTAACATTAAGATCCTGATGGAAGTTCTAACTCTCCCTATTCCATCTAAACCTTTTGCTGAGAATAGATTACAGACACTCTGGAACTATAACAACTATCAATGCTTGGTTTCCTGGCAGCAGAGAGTACCGCTTCAAAAAATCTGGAAATCCAGCAGGCGAAAAAGCCAATGTGCCATTGAGGCTCTATATGCTAAAATATAAATTCTGCTTGGATAACAATAAATGCAAAACTGTAAAGTGGTTCTAAAGGCTGAAGATTTTTTTTTAACCTAAAATTCTGTGTGCTGCTCCCCCCTCAGCCCCCCATACTTGAGCCCCCTCTCAATCCAGCGATGTGCTTGGGAGCCTCGGGTCTCCCTCTCCTCATTGGCTGAAACTCAGCAGCGGGAGCTATTGGCACCCTCTGCTGTCAATCACAGTCAATGAAGAAAGAGCAGAGGGTGGGGCAGAGCTGTGGCTCTGTATATCTTATGGGGACACAGAGCGGGGCTCGAGAGCTATTTGGGGCACTGTTCAAGGGGGAGGAGCCAGGAGTGTCGAGGGTGACCTGAGAAGAGGATCGGGGCTTCTTTGTGCAAAACCATGGCACAGAGCAGGTAAATAATAACACGTTTGTTATTTAAAAAAAATAAACCTTTAGAATCACCATAAATGCAGGTAAAATTAAAAGCAGAAACTCCACAGGGCTCTCTCATAAAACGTAATGGCATGTATATGTGTTGTCTATAGCAATATGTCATTTTCCAACACTCATCTGACTTGTGCAGCTGAAAAACAAACTATATGTTTTATGTGGGATTTTTTTTTTTCACAGGGTCTTGAAAAGACATCAAAAAAGAATTTTGGAGGAGGGAACACTGCTTGGGAAGAAAAAACTTTATCAAAATATGAAGCTAGGTACTGAAAAATTAACCATATTGCAGTGGTATCCAAACTCATTAATCAGTTTTGGATTATAATATAAATATATTCTAAAAATATTTTAGTAAAAGGTCTCGTGCACACGGGGATTTTTTTTTGCAGCCACTTTTAGGGGTGTGAGGCATTTGAAAAAAAAAAAAAATGTTGCTCCATGTTATCCTATGTGTCCATGCACATATAGACTTTTAGAAGCTTTTAGTATCAGTAGCATTTATAAGCAGAAAAAAAACCCACGAGCAGCAGTGTTTTGGCAGAAAAAAACGCTTGATTTGTGTAAACGCGCCTAAACGTTTGTTAATGCTATGTGCATTTAGCGCTTGAGCGTTAATTGATTTTAATGGCCAGAATAAATTATTATTCTGGCCAATGAAACAAATTGACGCCTGTAAACACTCATAAACGCTTGTAAAATCGTTAGACACTTTGACAAGCGTCAGGAGTTTTTTCTGCCAAAACACTGCTGCCAAGAGTGTTTTTAAAAAACGTCCTGTGTGCATGAGGCCTTAGACAAGGTTCTCAGGGTACAATAGGTAAAGGTATGAAGTCTCAGGGTACAGGACAATCATGTATTAAGATATTATCAATAGCAAAACCAGGCCTCTAGAATGAGGGCTTCTGAGAAACCATGTCTTAGTGGATTGAGAAGGAAGAAGAGCGAAGGGGGTGTGTGTAAGGGGAGACCAGACTCTAAGGTAGGCAATAACCCTATACTGCAGAACCGCATCAATTTTGTCATGAATCGTGGTCCTAGTAATCCTGCGCTTGGTCTCGACTACGGTATGTTAAAGGAGTTATTCTTCTAAGCCTTTGCTATGGTTTGTTTAGCTGCCGTGGTTATGTGGAGAAGTAGCTTAAACTCAATCCAAGTTAAGTTCAGAGGGTGTAAATTAAGCAGTGCTAGAAGAGGACCAGGGGGAATTAAAGTAGAGAACAGTGTAGAAATCATTCAAAATATCTCTTTCCAAAACCTTCCATCAGATATGCAAATGTGTGCCATTATCTGCTCACCCTCAAAACCAGGTTGGAGGGTAATATGGGATGAATTTGATAGAAGTCTGAATTGACGAGGTCAGCCTCTCTTGTATCTCCAGCCCAGGCCCCACTGAAGGTGGAACAGATAGTGCCGAGGGCCAGGAGGAACATGAGTGCCTGCAGGCAGGGCATCCGGTCAGGAATAGAGTGGATGCAGAAACAACCAGCTGAGGTTAAAGGAGCACTCCACCAGAACTGCAAGATCTGGATGCATGGCTTGCCGGAACTTCTAACAAGTATGAGGCTGGAACACACTGACAACCGGAGCTGATATAATGGACTGCCAGGGCAAGCACTCGGCTGGACTGTAGAGCCGAACTGGAGACGGAAGCGTAGTCAGAGTGATAGCAAGGGTCAGCAACGAGCAGGCGATGAGGTACCGAAACATCAGACAGGAACGAGGTCAGGAGGAAGCCAGGATCAGAAACTGATGAGGAGAAGGATAAACGGGATCCAAGAGCAGGTCAATGGCAAGCCAGGTCAGTAACAGATAACACATAGGATACAGTAGGACACATGGAAATAGCTGAAGACCAGTCAGCACTGACAGAGAGTAAGAGCCTCTTTTAAATAGTCTGTCTGGTGCCAGAAACTGTGTGCACGCTCCTGCGTGCGTGCACCCATGTGCACGCATTCTTTCTTGCATGCACCAGCCTATGCTCATTTTTATTAGCAATGCCCTGTGCTTATTTCTATGCGCAATGTTTCGCGCATGCGCATTTTTATGCACCAGTCATCGTACAGGAATTCCTTTACCTTCTGGTGAGGACTAGGTACCAGAGGGATAAGACTTCATAGGTAACTTACAATGCATTGATATTTTGCATGGTGGATTTGGTTGTGGTCCAGACGTCCATCCAGTCAATTGCTTCTGAGGAAAGTCCCTGTATTAGAAAAATATCCAATTGTGCATAATTTGTACCAGCTGGAAGTGTAAAATGTTATTTATATATTCTAATATTTATTTGAATGGTGGCAGTAATTCTTCTGTTTTCTAAAATTCTTGTGTTTTTCTTACAGCGAGATACGCCTGGTGGAGATTATAGAAAATCTTTGTGATAGCACTGATTTTGAATGCAATCTTATGGTTGAGGAACATGAAGAACAGGTTGAAAAATGGTGGTTCAAGATGTAAGCTGTGATTTTGTTCTAGGGTAATCATAAGCTGAAGTGTATCTAATTTTGTTTCAAAGCTCAGACATAGACTTTATCGTAGATTAGGTCTGTTAGTGCTATGTTCAATATAATTATTTTGATGAATGGGCAGTATCTTTTAGAAATCCATTGTAATAAATGGACAGTTTGATTAATAAATAATTGCAAATGCGTTATTGGTCCTTATGGAAAATGCAAGTAAATCTCTGTCTATCACAAAAAGCTTTGTATGGACTTCCACAATATGTTACGTCAATGCCATTTTAAATATTACTGGTATTGTTGATAGCTGGTAAATTGCATAATTGCAAATTGTAATTACCATAGTTGTGTGTTTGTTTTTTTACAGGCGGAACAAGTATCCTGATTTATTGAAGTGGTTTTGCATTGATACTATAAATGTTTGTTGTCCTTCTGGAACGTACGGACCTGACTGCTTAGGTAAAGAAAGGTAGAACATTTGAAATAAATAGAATATATTTTGGTATAGAAAGCAAGTTTTGCAGGACTAAATACATGCTTCCTTCAACTTTATTATAATAAATTCATATTAATGTACACGTGTAATATTAGAGAGCCACCTATCAATTCTATGTCTCTCAAGGGGTTCCAGAACTGGGATATTTGCACTAGCTCTGTGGCAATTAAGAAGGGGTGCCCATCACTTGTTAAATTTGTCTGATATCATGATTTTGTTACGATGCAAGGATCTGAACAGCTTAAATATACAGCCGTTCTAAGGTAAATATAGAAATGGGAAAGTGAAATAAAATAATTGTATATAAATATGCCACGATGTCACAAATTAGTGAGCATTGTTTTTTTTGTTCAGCCAGTGGACTGAACAAAAGAAAACTAGCAGATTCCTCCATCCATACAGATGAGGTAGAATCCCCCTCCCTGCCGGGACATTGTATTCTGAGGTCGGCACCCCTGCTGTCAGAATACACTGGTCAGTGACTGTGGCTGCTAATCAAGAGAAAATTTCCAGCATGTTTCCAGCAATTGACTTCTATCGAGCAGGGATAGCCACACCCTGATCAAAATTCTTCCAGTCCATGCGGAAATGGCCAAATTTCGACTAGTGTATGGCTAGCAATGCACAGAGTTGTGCTGGTAACTACAGTATGTAGCTGTGACATTGCAGAATTGGGATGTTGTGATACTGGTAACTTATGCAACAGGTAGGCTATATCATTTTGAGTCAAATTAACTGCAAAACTTTCATGTCATGTGCAAACGTAAATACTCCCCATGGAAATTGTTGGCTATTTCAACATATGTGAACAAACAAAGTTTAGATCTTGATTTAATGGCTAAATTCACCTTTAAAAAAAAAAATGCACATGTATTTTGCAGGTTAAAAAAATGTGCATTTGTTACCTTTTACATTGCAGTCTGTAAAGCACTGCACCCACAATCATGAGATTGCAGGGGCAATGTCAGGATCCTGCAGACACTCACTAAGCTGTCAGCCTGTACTTCCTGTACAGGCAGGCAGTTACTGAATGGCAGTAAGAATTAATAAAGTTGAGAGCACTCGCACTATTGGGAAATGCAAGTTGTCAGCCGTAATGGCGGACAGTACTTGTAGTCTATACTGTGTGGGCAGAGCTCTGCATGACCGCGCTGTTTTCAAATTGTGGCAGTGGGTGCAGGGATTGCAGCAGGAGATGGCTGCATAGGAGCATGTTGCAAGTTACACCATAAATGTAAGTGTAACATGTAACTTGCTCCTAAAGGTGAACTTATCCTTTAAATCGCACCTGCAGATATACTTGAACTGAAATATAAAATGAACTTGGCGTTTTCATTAACTAAATTAGCAAAACTTGTGATTTAGTATACAGTAAAAGTAAGTACGCCTCTCCATTTATCACCACATCAAATTCATGAAATCAGAATTGGAATCTGGCGTTCCAAATTGGATGCCAATGATTAGAACTACCTTTGAGAGTATGCAAGTGAAACTTGCATACTAGAGTCTGGTGTTCTCTTTCCTATTGACATTTGTTGTGTTATCAAGTTAAGATGAATAGAGCTTTCTAAGGCCCTCTGAAAGAAAGTTATGGATGCCCATGAGTCTGGCAAGGGATAAGATTGCCAGATGATCTCAAATCAATCATTCCACTGTCAGGAAAATGGCATAAACCTCAACAAAATGCTAATGCTAAGCCCAGAAAATTCAACCCATGCGTTGACTGCTTAATGCTGAAAGAAGTCTCCAAGAACCCCAAAATTTTATTGCAACATTTAGTGTCAAACTGCATGCATTACAATCAGAGAATGCACCGATTCAATCTGTCCAAGAAGAACATTAGAGCAGGATTACTGTTTGCCACTATTCAGGTAGACAAATATTGGGCCCTCTGAATTAATCAAAGATAGAGTTGTTTTCTCACAATAACAGTAAATAGTTTTGCAACAAACCAAATACACATTGTAGAAGAAGAAGATAACTGTGAAGCAGGATGCTGGAAATGTTATGATTTGGGGTTGCTTTGCTGCTTTAGAGCCTGGGTAGCCCGCAGCCATTAAGTTATTATACATTCTGCATCATATCAAAGGAGTTGATTTACTAAAACTGGAGAGTGGAAAATCTAGTGCAGCGGTGCATGGTAGCCAATCGGCTTCTAACTTCAGCTTGTACAATTAAGCTTTGACAAAAATTAACCTGGAAGCTGACTCTCTAAGAGCTGCACCAAATGTTGCACTTTCCAATTTTAGTAAATCAACCCCAAAGTGTGCTTAATGAGAATGTGAGGCCATCTGTGCTAAAGTTGAATTAGAAATTAATCTTTCAGTGTGATAATGATCTGAAGCATATGAGAAAAAAAATGTTTCCCACTGGAGGTGGGACTTTAAAGGGCAGCACTGATTAATGAGCCAATATATCAAAGAGAAAGGGGAAAAAAAAGCACAATAATTTATTGGTACATAATTGATTAAAATGACAGTTATATTCAGCAAGCGTGGTTACAAGAGATTACATGCACAATACTGTACATGATCAGTTTGATAGTCATCTATCCAACGCTTTCGAGATTAGAACTTCTCTTCTTCAGGGATGCAATACATGACTATGGATATATTCCATGGATTCAAGCTTATTTGATATAATCGCATAGGTATATAAAGGTAATGCAGAAGTGCTGAGAACTAATGTTGTCTGGGTACACCGCTGTCCGCCAATGCCACTGGGGTCACCATAAGGAGCCAAGAATAGGAACCTCATCCATGATTAAAAAGCAGTATTCTGTTGTGAAACTTGTATATATAAACACAAGGGTACATATACAGTCAGGTCCATAAATATTGGGACATCGACACAATTCTAACATTTTTGGCTCTATGCACCACCACAATGGATTTGAAATGAAACGAACAAGATGTGCTTTAACTGCAGACTGTCAGCTTTAATTTGAGGGTATTTACATATGTGCCTCCCACTTGTTAAGGGACCAAAAGTAATGAGACAATTGGCTTCTCAGCTGTTCCATGGCCAGGTGTGTGTTATTCCCTCATTATCCCAATTACAATGAGCAGATAAAGGGCCCAGAGTTCATTTCAAGTGTGCTATTTGCATTTGGAATCTGTTGCTGTCAGCTCTCAAGATGAGATCCAAAGAGATGTCACTATCAGTGAAGCAAGCCATCATTAGGCTGAAAAAACAAAACAAACCCATCAGAGAGATAGCAAAACATTAGGCGTGGCCAAAACAACTTTTTGGAACATTCTTAAAAAGAAGGAAGCACCGGTGAGCTCAGCAACAGCAAAAGACCCGGAAGACCACGGAAAACAACTGTGGTGGATGACCGAAGAATTCTTTCCCTGGTGAAGAAAACACCCTTCACAACAGCTGGTCAGATCAAGAACACTCTCCAGGAGGTAGGTGTATGTGTGTCTAAGTCAACAAGCAAGAGAAGACTTCACCAGAGTGAATACAGAGGGTTCACCACAAGATGTAAACCATTGATGAGCCTTAAAAACAGCAAGGCCAGATTAGAGTTTGCCAAACGACATCTAAAAAAGCCTTCAGAGTTCTGGAACAACATCCTATGGACAGATGAGACCGAGATCAACTTGTACCAGAGTGATGAAAAGAGAAGAGTATGGAGAAGGTAAGGAAATGCTCATGATCCTAAGCATACCACCTCATCAGTGAAGCATGGTGGTGGTAGTGTCATGGCGTGGGCATGTATGGCTGCCAATGGAACTGGTTCTCTTGTATTTATTGATGATGTGACTGCTGACAAAAGCAGCAGGATGAATTCTGAAGTGTTTCGGGCAATATTATCTGCTCATATTCAGCCAAATGCTTCAGAACTCATTGGACGCCGCTTCACAGTGCAGATGGACAATGACCCAAAGCATACTGCAAAAGCAACCAAAGAGTTTTTGAAGGGAAAGAAGTGGAATGTTATGCAATGGCCATGTCAATCACTTGACCTGAATCCGATTGAGCATGCATTTCACTTGCTGAAGACAAAACTGAAGGGAAAATGCCCCAAGAACAAGCAGGAACTGAAGACAGTTGCAGTAGAGGCCTGGCAGAGCATCACCAGGAATGAAACCCAGCGTCTGGTGATGTCTATGCGTTCCAGATTTCAGGCTGTAATTGACTGCAAAGGATTTGCAATCAAGTATTAAAAGTGAAAGTTTGATTTATGATTATTATTCTGTCCCATTAATTTTGGTCCCTTAACAAGTGGGAGGCACATATGCAAACTGTTGTACTTCCTACACCGTTCACCTGATTTGGATGTAAATACTCTCAAATTAAAGCTGACCGTCTGCAGTTAAAGCACATCTTGTTCGTTTAATTTCAAATCCATTGTGGTGGTGTACAGAGCCAAAAATGTTAGAATTGTGTCGATGTCCCAATATTTATGGACCTAACTGCATAAACCCAAGGGGCATTCAATAGATGAAGACTTGTTATGAAGTGACTGCAGTGGTCCTAGATGGAAAGGCTCACTGTGTATATGATGGTAGGAAGAAGGATGGCTGCGATGTTGCTAACCAAACCAGGGCCATGTGATCTTTTCCTGCTAGTGTATAAGGATGTGGGAAGGCAGGATGGTCTGACCACGTGGAGCACAGTCCTCAGCACTTCTGCATTACCTTTACGTTTTGTATGTATGACTATCAAACTCATCATGCATGTAATGTATTGTGCATGTAATCTCTTGTAACCACGCTTGCTGAATATAACTGTTATTTTAATCAATTATGTATCAAATTGCATGGGTTATTTTTTTCAATTCCTTTGTCTTTGATATCTTGGCTCATTGGTCAGTGCTGCCCTTTAAAGTCCCACCTTGAGGGTGGGAAACGTTTTTTTTCTTGTATGTATTACTCTAAGGGATTTTGGTGGCCTTTAGTTGCTATTACCTCAACATTTTTTAATGATCTGACGCAAGTTCTCAATTCCAAAAAGAATAGAAAAATATAGGGTTATGTAATGCCCTGGTTAAAGCCCCTATTTAATTCCATTGAAATTTTGTAAGGGGATTTTGAAATGGGCAGTTTATGTAAGGAACCCACACAAACATCTTGAAACTGAAAGATTTTTGAATGGAGAAGTGGTCAAAACCGTCATCAGTTCAGTGCCTGTCAGAGACTGGAGAGTTTTTAATAAAATGCCTACAAGGAATAATTTCTGGTAGAGAGAGCAATACCAGCTTTTGATGCCCATAGCGTACTTACTTTATCCACAGTACACCTTTTATTTGATATTGATATTTTTGTTGAATAAATGAAAGGGTTAATAAATGTTTCTTGGCTCCCTTTTCAAGTATATCAGCGCTATCTTTAGACACTGTTTAAATCTAATGTTTGCCTGTTCAAATCTGCTGAAAAAGTCAACAATTTCCATAGGTTGTACGTAATTTTTTCACCTGACTTTATATACTTTACCTCTTTCATGCCCAGTGGTTATTGGAGCTTAGCTATTCAGACCAAATTTAGTATGTGTTGGTTAACCTGATAGAAGCTTTCTAACTAATGTGCCTACCTAAATTTATGTTTTTAATTACATGTAAAGTTTTTATTTGGTACAATGCTCATATTTATTATTACAAGTTGACAAATGGACAAACCGAAAAAGAAATACACTGACAGCTGGCATGGCGATCGCATGATCATGAACCAGGTTGATTGGTTCCCCAATGCTAGCAGATACTGAGAGTTGTTACTAACAGCAAGTCTCACAGTTAGGACAGTTACTCAAGTGACAACCATGAAGCAATTAATATCGACCTAATACAGTACATGTGTTTTAGACACAATAGGTCATTACATACTGTGTTGTGTTTTAGGTTGCCTAGGTGGATCTGAACGGCCATGTCATGGGAATGGTTTTTGCAGTGGTGATGGTACCAGAGGAGGAGACGGAACTTGCAGCTGCAAGGCAGAATATACAGGACCATTTTGTCTTGAATGTGCAGATGGATACTACAGCTCTGAAAGAAATGACACTCATTCTGTATGCAGTGGTAATTGCTGTTTGCCTTATCTGATTAATTCTGTAGGAAAAAAAACACTTTTGGAACCTCTTTATAAAGAAGTGAATCTGACATTCAGCAAACATTCTTAACTTGAGAATCTTCAAGGTCCATGTGTTTTCAATGGCTGTGACAGATTCTCCATCAGAGAATGTTTGGCTTAAAGTCACATTCACTACTTTATAAGCAGACAAATTATTATTTTTTAGCTAGTCAGACACATGACAAAATAAGATTATGTTGTGTTATGTGGACAGCTTCAGAAATTGGGAAAATAAAATGTTTATATTTTAAGTTCCTGCCAATTAAGATCTATGTGAAAAGTTTTTGTTTATCCTAGAGACCTTTTTTAAAACACAGGTTTGGTGCATATTTTCCAATTTTGTCAAAAGAAGCTAGGTTAGATAACAAGCACATATTATCTTTAAAGAGTTTACAAAAAATCTACAGGAATAGAGCTGAAAGACACTTAGCGTGTGTGTATATCCTGACGCGAAGCCTTGTTGTGAATAACCAAATTCTGTTTAAGATTTCTGATAGGAGGCAAGTTTGGGCCATTTAAGCAAGTCTAGTCTGTTTTAGAGAAAAACATACATACAGGCACTAAAGTTAATTGCAGCTTATTTCCCCTTGCTGAAAAATCAATAGCTTTTATTTAAGATACATGTTACATATAGCATTAAACCTATTTTTTTAAATCCGATTTTATTTTTCAAAAGATTTTTTATAAACATTACATACACACTTAAACATACCATATCAACCAAACCAAAAAGAAAAGAGAGGACAAAAAAGCCCATAAATGTAATCTAATACAGCTTTAGTATTGCCAACAGGATGCTACACTAGAAACGTATTATAGAGTCTATCTAAAAGCCTACCCAGCCCAATCAATTTTGACAAATATATAAAACTTCAGGTACTTAGCTGTACATAAAAGGAATGATGCCATATTTTAATAAGTTGAATTTTGTGAATTGGAATGCTGGTATTGCTTGGGCAGTGGAGTTGATGTACACAAAACTGAAGCACAATAAGTTATAAATAGTTGCCTATAGTATCCAGCAGGATTCTGTATTTAATTTGCTCATGGGGAATGAAACAGGAAGCCTGACACGTGGCTGTCTTTTAGTTCTTTTAATTTTTATGGTCCAATACCTTTTGTTTTTGAAGAAGAAAAACAACATAGTTTCTAATAAGACTTCACTGCTTTAGCTATCAAACCTCTGTGGATTGATATCCAACATTTTTTTAGACATAAGAACTGTGATTTTCTGTGACTATATAACAAAATTTTACTTGTCACACAATGTCTGCAGTGAAAGCTGAGAGAGTTATGATTTGGAGGAATAGTATGTTTACCATTGCTCAGAGTTTCATACTGCTGGTTTATCAGCTTTGATATACCGCTTTCTTATTTTTCTAGATTGCCATGAAGCATGTAAAACATGTCATGGAGCAACAAATAAAGACTGCAAAGAATGTAAAGATGGATGGGTAGAGGAAGATGGAAACTGTGTAGGTTGGTATCTCTTCCTTTTTTTTTTTTTTATTTTTTTTTTCTAGGATTTATGATGTAGAACAACATGTCGTCTGCATATGCTGCTACCTTATGTTCCACTTCCCCTCTTTTTATCCCTGCTATATCTATACAATTTCTTATCCTCACCAGGAAAGGTTCCAAACAACAAAGGAGAGAGTGGACATCCTTGTCTGGTGCCATTATACATTTTAAAGAACTAAAAGAGGGATCCATTAACCTTAATCGCCGCTGATAGTCTGTTGTAAAGCCCTTTTATCCATCTTAACATTTTAGGTCCTATTCCTAAGACCTCTAATGTATCAAACATGAATCCTCAATTAACCCTGCCGAAAGCCTTTTCGGCGTCTATCAACAGGAATATTGTTGGCAGTTTCTCTCTTTTTACCCTTTGTAGGAGGAGCATTGATCTCAGACCATTGTCCCTACCTTCTCTTCCTGGAATAAAACGTACCTGATCTAGGTGTATCTGTTCAAGCATCAGCTCCTTCATTCTAGTTGCCCAGTACCTTTAGCGTACAATTTGGTGTCTGTGTTTAATAAGAATATGGGCCTATAACTGGCACACTGTGTGCTGTCTTTCCCTTCTTTAAGTATAATTGTTATATGTGCCTGCAAAGACTCGTCCCTCCTCTATTACGTTCATATAACCACACCTTTTAGGCACAAGGAGATCTTTAAACTTTTTAAAATATCCCACAGTGTATCCATTTGGACAAGGACTCTTTCATACATCCATATCTTTAAGGGCCGGGATAATTTCCTCAGGGGTGATTGAACTCTCTAGGGCCTCTAATTTTTCTTTTGCTAATCTTGGCAACTCCACTTCTTTTAAGTATTTCTGCCTGTTTTTCTTCTTTTCATCCTCTGTTTCTTTTTGATTTCTGGGGTTCACGTCGTACAACCTACTATAGTAGTTATGGAACCTATTAGCGATATCAGTGGTGGTGTACACCATTTCTCCTTTACCATCTTTAATTCTTTCTATAAAATTTTTAGATTTTTTTTTTTTTTATTTACGTTTCCTCATTAAATATTTTCCAGGTCTATTCCCCCACTAATATCTTTCTTTTAAGACCCTGTTGAATATCCTTCTTGACTCAGACTGTTCCATTAGCTCTTTTAGTTTTTCTCATTCTTCATCTTCTGATAGACATCTGTACCTATCTTCATTTTATTTAACTGTTCTAATTTATAGAGCTCCTCTGTCACCTTCTTTATTTTTTCCCCTCGTTCTTTCTTTTTTTTGGCCCCTATCTAGAAGATCAATATGCCCCTTATAAACTTTATGTGCCTCCCAAATTACACTCTAAAAATTGCTCAATTTCCTGCCTAAGTTTTTTTTATCTCTATTTCTGGGTCCTGTAGAAGCATCTCATTTAGTCTCCACATATTTATTTTGTCCTGACACCTTCCTACCCATAGTCTCATTGTGACAGGAGCGTGGTCAGAGTTGGACATAACCTCTATCTTGGAACTCACCAGCGACTCCAATAGTCTATGTTCAATCATTATATAATCCAATCTTGAGTAGGAATCGTGTACCTGACAGAAGAAAGTATAATCTCTTTCACCTGGATGTTTTACTCTCTAAGTATCACTCAATTGACACTATTCTCTTCAACACTTTAGATTTCCTACTCCCCTCTCTCCGCATACATGAAAACGCATCCATCTGAGGATCCAGACACATATTTAAGTCTCTTGCCACAACCAGGCCACCATTTTTTTATTTCAGAAAGTTTCCCTAATACACCTTCCAGGAACATCTCCAGATTTTTATTTGGACCATAGATATTAGCTAGTGTATATTCCGAACTCCTTGTAGCTTTCCCCTCAAAAATAAAAATCGGCCCTCAGGGTCCTCCATTTTATCCTCTAGGATGAAAGTAGCTTTTTTTGAGAATCCAATTGCTACACCTTTAGCTCTTTTAACTGGGGGGAGGTAGGTTGGTATCTCTGAATTCGCAAGAAAGAAAGTTAGTTTTAGGATAAAGAGTATTTCATAGCATTATGCATAGCCTTCAGTGAATTTCCACCAGGGGTCTGTAAAGGGCATTAAGCCAACAGGAGTTGACTAAGTCCCCCTTTAAAGGTTAAGTCTACCTAGAATATATTTTAGTGATGGACCAATGTTGGTGAATTATATAATCTATTGGCTTGGTGATACAATTCACTACTATTGCTGAAACATCTGCAATCTGTGATAACTGAAAATGCAGAAGGAAGAGTGGAAAATAAAGAATCAAATTGGTTTATGGAGCTGCAACTCTGATGCACAGCTTTTTCTGCCAAAATATTCAGCTGAACCTTTATTCCTTTATCAGCAGGTCCCAGGGCATCTTCATATCCATTATAATAGGGTTATGACAAGTGGTTGGGCACTGGCAAAAAAAAGACAGGAAATTCCCTCCTAGGCCAGAATTCCTGAGCCTTCTCCCTCCTCGTTCTATGCTATCAAATATTTTGCATGTTCAGCTCAGTGTGCATTCCCAGCATATTTTTTGCTTTGCCAGAATAACTGACTCCTGTGCACATTCTCTGGATGACATCATCATCTCCCCCTCAGCCAATCAAGAGTCCAAAATCCCTTCAACTGGGGAGAAGGTGAGAGCAGCTGGCAAGGGATGTAACCAACACATCACTGGAAGGTTGAGATGAGTAAATTCCAGAGTTTCGTTCTACTTTAAGAAACTCAACAGGTTTGTCAGAGTGCAGAAGTTTCAGTTGGAATCAATGTGGTCATTGGTGCTTCTCCCCCTGCATTCATTCAGGGCTGGATTGTTCATGGGCATTATGACTGCTGACGTAAAGTGTGGGGCGAAGCGTACAGTCAGTGACCAACTTGGGACCCACACATGGGTGTGAAGCAGGTCCTTATAACGGATGCCAGCCTGGTGGGCTTGGGTGGAGTCCTGGACAATCTTTAGAAACAAGGTACGTGGTAACCTCAAGATAGGTCATTGAGGCAATTCACTTTCCACTACTGCATTGGTCGTGCATCTGAAGGCACTCCATAGTTACAGTCTGGCTGAAAAAAGACAAAAGTCCATCCAGTTCAACGATAAAAAAAAAAAAAAAAAAAAAAAAAAATTGTAATCCTATACCCACAGTTTATCCAGAGGAAGGCAAAAAAACCCCAGCAAAACGCAAAACATGATCCAAATTCCTTCCTGATCCCCCGAGAGGCAATCTGATGTTCCCTGGATCAACTTTACCTATAAATGTTAGTATCCAGTTATATTCTGTGTATTTTCTGTGTATCTAAGAAAGAATCCAGGCCTTTTTTAAAGCAATCCACTGAGCTGGCCAGAACCAACTCTTGAGGGAGTCTATTCCACATTTTCACATCTCTCACTGTGAAGATCCCTTTCCTTGTTTGGAGTTTAAATTTCTTTTCCTCCAGACGTAAAGAGTGCCCCCTTGTCCTCTGTTATGACCTCAGGGTGAATAGCTCTACACCGAGTTCACTATGTGAACCACTGATGTATTTATACATGTTGATCATATCCCCCTTAATCTCCTCTTCTCAAGAGAGAATAAATTCAGTTCCTCTAATCTTTTCTCATAGCTGAGCTCCTCCATGCCTCTTATCAGTTTGGTTGCCCTTCTCTGTATTTTCTTCAGTTCCCCAATGTTCTTTTTGTGAATTGGTGCCCAAAACTGAACTGCATATTCCAGATGAGGTCTTACTAATGATTTTTACAGGGGTAATATGATATCTCTCTCTCTCTGGAGTCTATACGTCTTTTAATACAAGAGAGGATTTTGCTCGCTTTAGAAACTGCAGCTTGGCGTTGCCTGCCATTATTAAGCTTGTGATCTACCAGAACCCCCAGATCCTTCTCCACCATTGACTCCCCCAATTGTACTCCCCCTAGTATGTATGATGCATGCATATTCATAGCCCCCAAGTGCATAACCTTACATTTATCAACATACAAAAATAATTTGCCACATAGTTGCCCAATTAAACAGTGCATTGAGGTCGGCTTGTACGTTGGAGACATCCTGTAAGGACATTATTTCACTGCACAGCTTGGTGTCATCTGCAAAGACTGAAATAGTATTTTTAATCCCAGACCCAATATCATTTATAAATATATTAAAAAGTAAGGGTCCCAACACTGAACCTTGGGGTACACCACTGACAACCCTAGACCTTTCAGTGTATGAATCATTAACCCACTACTCTTTGAATACGATTTTTTTTAGCCATTTTTCTATCCATTTACATACAGATTTTTCCAAGCCTGTATAGTTTACCTTACACATTAGCCGTGTGTGGGGAACTGTGTCAATCGCTTTTGCAAAATCCAAGTATACCAAGTCCACCGCCACCCCTCTGTCCAAGGTTTTGCTGACCCCCTCATAAAAAGAATTTGTTTAGCAACTTCTGTCTTTCATGAATCCATGCTGTCTGTTGCTTAAAATATTTTTTTCCAGGAAGAACTCATCTATGTGGTCTTTTATTAAATTCTCCAATATCTTCCCAACTTCTGAACTATATGTAAGGGTTCAGTTGGACAGTGCCACAGTGATGGCGTTCAAATCATTAGGGAGGCACCAGAAGTCAGGATGCTCAGGAGTAAGTGGATCTCATCCTGCCTTGGACACAAATTTATGTCCCTGCACTATTTGCAATCCACATTCCAGGTGTGGGAAATTGTTAGGCGTATTTTTGGGATTGTCAGCTGTCAAAAACTGACCCAGGGAGAGTGAGCTTTTCGTACAGAGGTGTTCAAGGAACTCTGCTGAAGGTGGGGAACCCCCCCAGATGTGGATTTTCTGGTGTCCATGTAAAAACTTGTAAATAGTAAAAGTGCTCATGCACTTATGGATGTGCCACAATTGTTAAAAACAAAAAAAAACAAAATAAATCTTTTGCAGCAGTCTTATACTTGTGTTAAAATATCACTTCCTGAAGAAGATCTCTGATCAAAACGCGTCGAGGTGTGATGACGCAACTTCCAACGTCACATCCGTCCTGTGGAACACACACCGCTCCAAGGAGCGATCAGTACAGCGGCTTCCATTTTGAGCAGTAACAAGGCTGAGTACACCAGGAGCCCGGGCTTAGACTTTTCTTTTGTGAGTGGTAATTTTTATTGGGGGTACCTTTATAAAAAAAATACAAACAGTTTTACACTATGGGATGTCCCCTTCTTTTTCTTTGTATATGGTGATATACTTTTCCCTTCGTGCGGAGGTGTGGATTTAGCTGGCTCTTTGAAAATTGCCCTTTAAATATCACAGACAACCCCAAGGATAGATGGTCACAGGCTAAGGATCTGGAGACAACTGGCTTACTGGGAATGTCCTGCAAGCATTAAGGACCATTCTAGATATAGATGGTCATTGGAGAAGGGTGATTGTCAGTCCATGTGGGGCACTTCTGTCGAGCACAGCACTTTTTTTGGAAATGATCCATTAATCAGGATATCGAATATAAGTTGAGCACAAGCATATGCACTTGTTTCACTAATATGGGACTGGTTTATGATATGCTGAATATATGCACATGTTTATGATTATGTGCGGTCCATTTGTTTTGCTATTTTACCATTTAAGAACTTGACAGATTCATATCCAGAACTAGGGATTCTCAAGCATTTGCGAAGGATGCTTTGGTGACCCCCATGGGATCAGTTCTGCCTAATTTATGCCTTCCTGCCATTGAACCTTCAGATCTGCTTCACAGGATTCGGGTGATTCTGATCGCCCTTGCCTGGCTCTGGAGAGCGTGATACTCTGACATTGTCAGTAGATGAACCATAAACCCTTCCGATCATCCTGACCTATTGCCACAAGGTCCAATCTGCCATTCTTCTTTACCTCCTCCTTCCTAACCTTTTAAAGGATAAGTTCACCTTTTATTATATTCATATGCAGGATGTAACATTTTACGAAAGGACTGTTCCCCATTCCCCCCCCAAAGCCCTGTTTTGACAGCTAGCAGGGGATCTTCTCCCCCTGCTATCTGTCACTATTTCATAAAGACATGGCTGTGTGGGTCTTCGCCCGTTTGGCCACGTCACTCATTCACAATATTCTGTGAATAGGAAAACTACAAGTTCTGAAAGCCTTTGCGGCTGTCAACTTGTAGTTCTCAATGAAATACCACAGCACTGTTGAGCTCTGTGGTAGTTCATTGATTCTTCCTGTCCGTGTGTATCTGCTTCCCTGTACGAGGTACAAGCAGAGAGATAAACCAATCGAGTAAAAAGAAGAGTTTTAAATACAATTAAGTTAGCATGTGTTTTTGATACCCAGGATTGGTAATATACCTTCAGTGGAGACACCTTTTTGCCATGATAACTCTTACAGTAGTAAATTTCACTTCCTCTGGGTAGGTCTCCTCTCACTCCCTTCCTCTGTTTGTAAGAACGAGTCATTCGTAACTCGAAGACTGCCTGTAGTGGTCCCAGAGAAAAAGTGGTATTCCGCCACTGTTTTCTATGTCTACAAAAACACAGTTTGTCAATTTAAATCTTCATAGTTTTAGCCTTGCAGCAGTATAGTGACAGTAAGGCAGGCAGGTTGGAATAAAGCATTGCACAGCAGAGATTTGCAATAGAAACGTTAGCAGAGTGGCATTAACTCAGTTCATCACATTCCATCTCTCACACATTTCAGAATGCTAAAAGTCACTCTCATATTTACATACCCCATGTCCAGAAGCTCTCACCAATTCCGGAGTCCGGCTGTTGCCCATGCCTGCTTGTTCTTGTGGGTCTGTGTCGCATGTGACTTGGCCCTATCCAGGTAGTATGACTTGTCGCTTCTGGCTGTAATAACCTATTTGGTAGTCCTCATACTATGCCTGAGGGTGCGATTCAGTGGGGTGGCTAGCTGGGAACTGCTGTGGTGGGCAGAGCCTGTTCTCGTTAGCGCCGCCTACAGCGACATGTTTCGCCCACATGACCGTGAGCTTCGTCAGGACAAGCAGAGATATACACTGCAGGATTCGTGCATGGCACCAGTGATCTGCTGATCGCTAGTGCAATGCTTTCCAGGCTCCCAAAACAAAAAATAGTAAATGCACATTGTTTTTTTACCTGCAAAAAAATTGTATTATTTATTATTTTTTGTTAAAAAGAGAACTTATCTTTTAAAAGTTAGTAAGGTGACTTTACAGAAGATTTACCATAGGACTTATTTTGCCTGGTGTCTTTCTCATCTGTATACTGGGAGTTGCATCCTGACTTTTTTCTATAAAGGAGTCAATCAGGGTTTGGCCTTGAGCATGATCAAGGGTCAGGTTTCAGCCTTAGCAGTCTTTGGTGCATATAAAAATAAAATAAAAAAGTGAGCACTCTCTGGTCAGCAGCTAAAGCACTAAAGGTAACCAATATAAAACCTTGTCAAAAACAAAATATATAAGTGCAGCGCTAAAAATAAAGAGTATTATAATTGTCTGTCCATCAATAAATAATTTCAATAAAATTAAATGCCCAGGATATGTTAAAATGAAGGTGACAGTCTGTGCAGATAAATGGTGCGGAATCACAGTAAAAATCCAGTAGTGGTGCTCCAAATAGTGTGGTAAAATTACGCACTCAGCAGATGTTTAATATATATATGCATTAAATGAATCAGTAGAGGTCTCCTTAAGGATATGGATCTGGTCTAGGTCAAGGATAATCCTCCCTCTAGGTGGTGGTGTTGTCAGAAGCACACAGAAAGTAAAAGGATCCAGCTGGCCAGAGGTCCCTTTAAGGAATGGATGGGTGCTGATGCCTGCGTACAGGAACTCCCTTCTCTGGATACTTTAGATGGCTGGATCATGTGGGCTCTATAAATAAATAGCTCCTCAAGGGAGACCATAAAGAGTGCCCATAGTGTAGTAGTTTAAAATATAATTTATTATACAAACAAATTTGCAAATTCCTCAGTATTAAAAAGCAAGCAGCGTCAGGTATATGGTATGGACTAACCATCCAGAAAGTAAGATGGCCGTCGGGCCTCCACGTGGCTCTGGCAGCGTGATGTCACGGCATCTTGGCTCCTAACGCATTTCGTGCGCACACACTTCTTCAGAGGCGGATACCAATGGCACGATAACGTTAACACAATGTATTTATAGGCAAAATGGCTCGTGCGCATTACGCCGGCGCCATTTTGCCGTAGCCCAAAACACAGTATATGTCCGCGCGCATGCGTGGCGCCATTTTGCCTTGGGTTTTCTAAGGAATCATAATCATAGATGCCGGATTGGAGTAAGTAAAAAGTTACTAATTAGCCAGGAGCTTTAATCATAGTGAAATCAAGGTAAATTAGGTTAGCTCATACAAGGCAGCAGGTCGTCTGCATAAAAAGGCATCTTTTCTTCCCCATCAGTAATCTGACAACCTTGAACTTGCACATCTCTACAGGTCAGTTCAGCCACGGGATCAATGGCAATAGCAAGTATGGGTGATAAAAGGTACCCCTACCTACCTCAAAGGGCTCAATATTTTGATTATTTACTTAAATTCAAGCCATTGGTTGGCACCCACTTGATAAAGGTTATACCAAAAAAACAAATTGTTCAAGGAACGCAAATAAATATGGTCATTCAAACACTTTATGCGTCTCTAAAGAAGCTGGCACTCTAGAGGCTGGGCCATTCAACGGAATCTGGATATTTTGTGAATAGACGGTCAAAGTTGCATACCATTCAATAGGATATCCATCCAGGCTGGGTGTTTTATTAGGTGGGAAGGATGCATCTATTTCTTCCATAAGAGGAAGATCTAATATGGTAGCGTGCTGCATAGACAGTTTTTGAAAATGTAAGTTTGCTAAAAAGAGGGACATGTCTTCAACAGTATATCCCATCTGATACTTAAACAAATGAGAATAGAACTCAGAGGAGGCAGAAGTTATGTCTTTTGATTGAGACCTCAGCACACTAGATTGATAATAAATGCAAGGTGTATTCAATCCTATATAATGATGGCAATATCCTGCTATTCTGATCAACCAATTCAAACACTCATTTTTCATATAGCAACTGATTGATACTCCTTGAATAATCTAGCGCGAGGAAACTACTCTTGGTTTGCGAGTTTTACAGGCTGCTGCATGAGGAGTCTAACCTGTTCTAGTTTCATTGTAGTATGTTTGTATAAACGTGTATTGATCATCTACTATTTTATTTTTGCAGACCAGGATGAATGTGCCACAGAAAAATCTCCTTGTAAAGAGAGTCAATATTGTTTAAACACAGAAGGATCATATTTATGTGAAAGTAAGTATATTGCCTATTTCTAAATTTCTAACTAATGCAAAGATCAAAGCAATAAGGTCAAAATATGGCACTTATAGTTAATGTCCCTGTTGTTTATGAAATGAGTGCTTAGGTGTTTTTATTATTCCTCTGCTTTTAATTGGTATCGCACTCATAGAAACGAGTTTGAACTAGACTTCACGTATATTCCAAAATGCTATAATTAGTTAACTGTTATTGCACCCTTATGTGGACAAAGAAACCAATTCAAACACTTTCTTCAGATGTTTGACATTGTGCTGTGGATTTTTAGATGAGCAATGTCATTAAGGGGGTGGGGCTTTGTCAGTGGGACTCTGAATGATCTGTTCCCTATTATTTGATTTATACTGTGGAGTACAGTTATTTATTTATTTATTTCAGGTACAGTTCTACTACATCATCTAGGGGTTGTTGTAGGGGAACTATACATCGGCACTGAAAAAAATAATGTAGTTCGCCTCTCTATGTAGGTGTGGCTTCACATGTGTGGTACGAATTAAAGCTTTGTTTTTACAACTAATTGACAAAGTATTTGTCCAGGTCAGGTTTAGATCAGGATCAGGTCAGGTTTACATCAGGATCAGGAGAGAAAACCGGCCTGAAATCATATTCACAAACTCATGACATGTGCGGTTCCCGTAAAAGTCAATGAATCTGTAATCTGCACCTGAACAGGAGCACACTACTTAGAGATTGGATATGACTCTTTTTCAATCCAGACTGAAGCCACACTGCCAATAAACCAGATGTATGTGAACAGGCACCATAGGAAGCAATGTTATTTCGCATGTCATGTGGATTGGCTGCAGCTCAATCTGCATATATGTGAATTGGCTCTAAAAGTCTGGGTCAGCAGTCCTGGTACTTTTTATGCATATTGGTTGTGTTTAGACAGATTAAGCTTTGTTTGTTTGTTTATTGTTTTGCTGTTTTCATTAGAGTGTGATGAAAGCTGCTTCGGGTGTACAGGCGAGGGTCCAGAGAAGTGTACAGAGTGCTCAGCTGGATATGTGTTAGAAGATAACAAATGTACAGGTAAGAGAACATCTGTAAAATCACTTTTATTGAAACACTTTTTTGGAACAGACTTGATACTTGAATCAGCTTGTTTACATATAATAAATATTCAGTAGATGTGTGCCGTTCAGCCATAACTTTATAACTAAATACCAACTCCCATGGCTTTAAGTACCATCTCTATGCTGATGACACACAAATCTATCTTTCTACTCCTCACCTCACCCCTTCAGTCTCCTCTTGCATTACTAATCTACTAAGTGACATATCGGCATGGATGTCACTCCACTTCCTCAAACTCAATCTTTTCAAAACTGAGCTCTTAGTATTCCCTCCAGCCCGTGCCCCCTCCCCTGACTTCTCCATCAAGACCAATAATACAACCATCAGTCCCTCCCCTCATGCCAGAGTACTAGGTGTAATCCTACACTCCCATCTGTCCTTTCAGCCCCAAATCCAATCGCTGTCCAAATCATGTAGACTTCACCTCCGCAACATCTCCAAGATATGGCCGTTTTTAACCTGGGAAACTACTAAGCAACTTATTCACTCCCTTGTTATCTCTCGCCTTGACTATTGTAACTCCCTCCTCATTGGCATACCTAATCACAGGCTATCCCCTCTTCAGTCTATCATGAATGCTGCTGCCAGACTCATCCACCTTACTAACCGTTCCGTATCTGCCACCCCTCTCTGCCAATCCCTCCACTGGCTTCCCATTGCCCAACGGATAAAATTCAAAACATTAATAACATATAAAGCCATTTATAACTCTGCCCCAAATTACATCACCAATCTTGTCTCCAAATATCACCCAAACCGTACTCTCCACTCCTTGCACGACCTCCTGCTCTCTAGCTCCCTTGTCTCCTCCTCCCATGCTCATCTCCAGGACGTCTCCAGAGCTTCCCCCATCCTCTGGAACTCTCTGCCCCAATTTATCAGACTATTGCTTACTCTGCTCACTTTTTGGCGATCTCTGAAAACCTACAGTATCTCTTCAGGGAAGCCTATCCTGCCCTCAGCTAAAATTGGAATCTTTTACTCCTCCTAATAGTCCATCCTCCACAGTTACTACCTTTTTGTACCACTAGCCCCTCCCTCTTAGATTGTAAGCTCCAAGGAGCAGGGCCCTCCTAACTCTCTTGTATTGAACTGTATTGTTGCTGTATTGTCTCCCGTTATGTTGTAAAGTGCTGAGCAAACTGTTGGCGCTATATAAATCCTGTATAATAATAATATTGAGTAGGTCCCACTTTTGCTGCCAAAACGGCTCGACCCATCGAGGCCTGATGTTCGTTGGTATCTGTCATCAATCCTTCAGTAGCAAATCTTTTAAAGTGTAAGGCAAGTAAAAACCTAACTAAGCTTAAATCTACTTCTACCCCCATTCAAAGCCTATTTTATCTAACCTGTAAAAGGAAAAATGCCTATACTTACCTGTTCTGAAGTCGCTGTGGTCCAATCACATGATTGAGTCCCATTGCCAACTTCTGTGTAGAGGAGAGACAGCTGACAACGGACACTTCATAGTAAGGCTATGGGTGACGTCTTCACACAGGCTGTGCAGCCATAGTCCCAATCTTTCCTCTACACTGAAGCTGGTGCAGGAGAGATCATGTGACCAGACTGGAGCGACTTCAGAATAGGCAAGTATTGGCATGTTTCCTGTTACAAGGTAGATAGAATAGGCTTAAAAGGGGGGTGGGAGTAGGTTTAAGCTTAGTTAGATTTGACCTTCAACTTTAAGTCCTGTAAGTTGTGAGGTGGAGCTTCACTGCCATCAGATCAGCTACAATGTTTAGGTAGGTGGAACATGTCAAGTAACATCCACATGAATGGCAGGACCCAAGATTTCCCAGCAGAACATTGCCCAAAGTTTCACACTGCCTCCAGTAATAAAAGGCTGAGAGAGATGTTAACCTTTCCACACTGTGTCCAGATCATAAGAAACCGCTTTTACTGGAGTTATACTTTACCAGCAACGCAAAGATAAATATAATTCCAAGGTGTTCTAAGTATTTCTGAATGAGATTGGGGTGTGAAGATATTTTAATAGTAGCCACAATTGTGGAAGTACATTTTACCAACATGGACAGATTTTATCTTGAACTTAGCAGTAACCTGTGCCTTTCAGGTTCATCAAGAATATAAGGACAATTTACTTGGATTGTAAGGGGTTGTGTTAATACCCCGACTATACAAACAATTTTCTCAAATACTTTAATCCCCGTAAAAGTTAATGTTTGGGTAGTATAGGGGTTAAAGCAGAACTCTGGTCAAAACTTTTATTTCTCTAGTCATCTTCCTGGACGGCACACCTGAGATGACTAGCTCCCCTGGTTGCCGACCAGCTGCAATGTTTTTACTGCGGCAGGGCAGCACCTCTGCACACAGCGCCGTCTTTTAACGTCGCTATGCAAAACAGGTAGGGGGCTCGCCCGCCCTACCCATCCCGCCGATCGCGGCAGCGGGTGTCCATCACCGGGTTCCGGCGGCTCATTACCCGCTGGGTCCCGACGATTACCAGTAATCACTGACAGACAGCACGGCTGCAGTGTTTACACTGCAGCTCTGCTAGCTGTCAGTTCAGAGCACGCTGAACCTGAGAGAAGACTTTATCTCTCGGGATCAGCATGTTCCTGTGAAGTACACACCCCGCCCCCTAGTAAAATACTCCCCTCACACACTTAACCCTTTCATTACCTAAAAAATGTTAACCCCTTCCTCCCCAGTGCCATTAGTACAGTGTCAGTGTTTTTTTTTTTTTGCACTGATCACTGTATTGGTGTCACTGTGGATGTCAGTGACCCGAAGTCAGTTCCCCCCAGTGTTAAAATGTCCGCCGCAGTCCCGCCATAAGTCACTGATCACTGTCATAAATCGCTGATCGCTGCCATTATTAGTATAATATAAAAAAAAAAATCCCAGTATCTTTCCCGCCATTTATAGACGCTATAACTTTCACGTAAGCCAATTAATTTACATGTATTGGGAAAAATTTATTTTTTTACCACAAGTTTTTGGAAAATAACAAAAAAAAATTTGGCAGTCTAGCCAAGTACAGGACCCCAAAATCCAATAAGCACCTTCAGGCTTTTAAAGGGCTTTATTTCCTCATTACACTTCCAGACTACCTATCACAGTTTTGGAGCCCCTGAAATGCCAAGATAGCACCTAACCCCCCCAAATGACCCCTTTTTGGAAAGTATACACCCCAAGGAATTTGATAAAAAGCACGGTAAGTATTTTGCAGATCTCATTTGTTGCCACAAGTTTTTGGAAATGAAGAAAAAAAACAAAAAACATATTTTTTCTATTCTTTTTCTTTTATATTTCAAAACCTTGTGAGAAAAAATGAGATCTGCAAAATACTCACCATGCCTCTTTTTAAATTCCTTGGGGTGTCATTTGGGGGGGGGGGGGTGCTATCCTGGCATGTCAGGGCCTTCAAAACTGTGATAGGTAGTGAGGAAGTGTAATGAGGAAGTTACGCACCTTCAGGCTTTCAAAGTGGTCATTGGATTTCAGGCTCCTGTATGTGGCTAGGCTCCCAAAAAGTCTCACACATGTGGTATCCCCATACTCGGTAGAAGTATCAGAATGTATTTTGGGGTGTAATTCCACATATACCCATGGCTTGTACGAGAAATAATTTAAATGACTTTGTGTAAAAAAAAAAAAAAAAAGTTTTTGTCATTTTCCAGAAACTTGTGGGAAAAAAATAAATCTTCCATGGACTCAATATGCCTCTCAGCAGATAGCTTAGGGTGTCTACTTTCCGAAAAGGGGTCATTTGAGGGTGTTTGTACTATCCTGGTATTTTAGCACCTCAAGAAATGTGATGGGCAGTGAGAAAGTAAATTCCATTATCTATACCATAGTTTGTAGATGCTATAACTTTCACACAAAGCAATCAATATACACTTATTGGGATTTTTTTAACCAAAACATGTAGCAGAATACATTTTGGCCTAAATTTATGACGAAAGTTTGTTTTTTTTTGGATATTTTTTATGACCGAAATGAGAAAATATAGTTTTTTTTTTTCAAAAAAAAAAAATTTTCTATTTATAGCACCGAAAATAAAAAGTGCACAAGGGATCAAATACCACCAATAGAAAGCTCTATTTGTGTGAAAAAAAGGACATGAATTTCATTCATGTACCATATTGCATGACCACGCAATTGTCCGTTAAACTAGCGCAGCAATGTATAGCAAAAAAATGGCGTAAATTGCAGTATCTATACCATAGTTTGTAGACGCTATAACTTTCACACAAAGCAATCAATATACACTTATTGGTATTTTGTTTTTACCAAAAACATGTACCAGAATACATTTTGGCCTAAATTTATAACTAACTTTAGGTTTACATATATTTTTTATAGCTGAAAGTAAAAAATATTGTTTTTCTTAAATTTTTGGTCTTTTTTTGTTTATAGCGTAAAAAATAAAAAGCGCACAGGTGATCAAATACCACCGAAAGAAAGCTCTATTTGTGTGAAAAAAAGGAACGTAAATTTCGTTTGGGTGCAGCATTGCATGACAGCGCAATTATCAGTGGAATTAGTGCAGCGCCGAGTAGCAAAAAGAGGCCTGGTCAGGAAGGGGGGTAAATCCTCAGGAGGGCAAGTGGTTAAATTCCCTGCCCTTTCCTCTCCTCCTCAGTTTTTTGATTGTGTTTCCCTGCAGCGAAACGTTTGTTGTTTTTTTGCAGACCTAAGGCCTGGGGCTGGAGGTCCCCCCTGTGGGGTAAAACAGCCGAGCTGGAGAGGGCAGACTGTAACCAGGGTCTCTTACCCACTCCAGGGGTCCCAATGTATCGGAGCTTCCCAGGCACCATGGAGGTTTGTCTGGCTTTCCAGGGAAGAGCGTCCTTCCTCCCTCTTCCAGGGCAGCAGGGAGGCATATCCAGGAGAGGATCATGCCGCAAGGTCTCTTCTTGTAGGTATGGGACTGCTGGCCAGCAGGAGCCCCAGTGAAGGCAACACAATCCCAAGAGCCCTGCAGGATG